TTATTGTTCGTGAGTCTTGCAGTACCTATACGTTCACCAAACTAACTTTTTCATTATAGGCCTTGAGGTCCTGTGGCCCGGCCTCACCCCCGTTTCACCCGGCAATGACGCGAGTCCGGCTAGCACCAATTGGTTTCCACTATCGTTATCCGATCCGACCTTGTTCACGGCGTTTGTCTTCGGTTCACTATCTCACAAGAGAGTCCAATGGCTGAAAGGCACGATTCCGCACCATGCTTTCCTACCCTCCGAGGAGCAAATGCTGCAGCTATGCGAGGCAGAAACCATCCGGAATGTGACGCGGGAGGTCAGCGATCCCACTCGGGCAATGTGCGATGCGGTTATTCTGAGTGTCATTTGCATGGCACACAACGTCGCCAACAACGAGCATATCAAGGGCCAGAAGCTGCCCTTTACCGCTCCGATGCAACGCCTGCAGTGGTTGGACATCTACAGCAGTCTTCCGCCTAACCTGGTGCATATCAAAGGTCTAATTCAGATGGTCCAGATGCGTGGAGGTCTTGAGAACCTGACTCTTCCTGGACTCGCACCTACTTTATGTTTCTCCGATCTCGTCACTTGCAGCACGTTCCTCTTGCCGCCTGTATTCGATTTCATGCCCTTGCGCAGAGAGCGGATAGGTCTCACAATGCAAGATATGCTGGGTTACAGCATGATCGATGTCGAGCGTCGGTTTGGTCCTCTGCGGGAGATTGGCTTGACATCGGACATGCTGGAGGTATTCTACGCCATGCAGGCTTATATCAAACTTATTGAGGCCCACGTTACAACGCAGCACAACAACCCTGACTATTCGCTTCTATCCGATCAACGAAATCGGGTGCATTACAACCTCCTTTCTCTCCCTGCAGTGAGCCAATTTGACAGGTTTGCGAATTACCAACCCCATGAGGTCATGTATGAGATTTGCCGGCTGGCCGGTCTCATCTTCGGTGTCGGCGTGGTGCTACCGCTCCAAGCTCAGAGTGCACCGCTCTCTCAACTTGCCAAGCTCATCCAGGAAGCCTTGCACATCTCCAAAGCGCCCTTCTCCTGGGACCATCCACAGGCTCGTATCGCTCTCTTCTGGGTGTTGATCCTCGGCGGTATCGCTGCGGAAGACCAGCCCGAACGCGCCTGGTATGTTGAGCTCATCAGTCAAGTGGCCGGAAGCCATGGCATCCACACCTGGGACGAAGCACGAAAGGTCCTACGTGTGATGCTCTGGTACGACCGGGCCTGTGAGCGCGGGGGTCGCAAACTGTGGCTTGAAGTGAAGAAATCTGGCCCCTCATCATCCTGAATCACCGGGACTCTTCCCAAGCATGCACCTATCCCACAACCCTCTCCTCCCGGCTCCTACACCCCCACGTCCATCAATATGTTCACCGTCCGCATCATTGGCTCAACATGAACCCTTGACCATGATCACCGCTCTCCTCCCAAAGCCAGACCGAACGCGGAGGAAGCCGGACCAACAGAACCTGCCCTCGCTACCCCCCATCCTGAACTGTAGGTATATTATACGACTTTACGAAGGTTACGACGCAGCCAACGACCATGGCGAAAAGCATAAGTGCGCAAAAAAAAAGAGAATATCTCAGCGCAACATTGCTATCGACCTCTTACCCCTCCATTTTGACATAACCACTAGTTCTTTCAGCCGCCTTATTTTTATTTTTTTCTCTTCCCAACTGTCTCTTCTATCGCTGTGACAGAATTTCAACCTCTTTTTTATAATTCATACGTGGAACTGTGATATATAGATATATTCAATCGACCTAATCTGAAAACCCTCGGAAATTTGATGACCGAGTGATTCTTAATAATGCTGCTGGTTGCATTCTTTATAGAAATCATGTACAATGTTTAAGCGATAAGAATCTGGACTAAAACTACATCTCTGGGGGAAGAACTAATGCTGCAGATGTACGCTGTGTGACCATGCACCGGGCCAAACTGAAGGGCGAAAAGCCAAAAATATATAAAACTGGTCGGATTCTGTCCTGTAGTGAGTGAAACATCAAGTTCGTCAATTTTCAGGGTCTAGTGCCCCCGTACGAAGTAGATGTGTCATTGCCTTGCCGGAGCAGGGGTTCGCGTTCACCTTGCTGCTGCTGGTGACGGCCCCAGTCCCTTGTGTCCACGCCGTCATGGATGCCGGGAACGCTGAGACCACTCTCGGCGACCTCCGTGGTTCCATTCGCGGCGGGAGCTGTGGGATTCGTGGCGGCAGCGCCGGCCTTCCCGCGGTTAGCCGCCATCCGGCGGGCTTGCCAGCTGACGAAGATGACCAGGGCCACGCCGACCAGGAAGGTGGTGATGGTCAGCAGGGCATTGACGGGGGTGGGGTCGCGGTCGAAGACGGTGAAAGTCAGGGCGTCGAGGCCGGCCTGCGCGAAGTTGCCCAGGCCGGCGAGGCAGATGATCAGCCCGTAGACCTTGCCGAAGGTCTGGAAGCCGAAGACCTTGGCGGCGTAGTCGGAGACGGCGGTGTAGTAGAAGGGGCGGTAGAGGACGAAGAGGGCGATGTTGCCGTAGCCCGCTGCCTCCGTGGGGATGCAGCCCAGGATGCCGATCAGGGTGGCGGTCGTGACGAGGGTGAGCAGCACCAAGGGGGTGCGGGCAGAGTCGAGGATGGTGCCGATGAAGGGAACGGAGATGAGGCCGCCCAGCGGGAGGAGGACGTCGAAGGTGGAGTTGAGGGTCGCGGCCAGGTCTGGGGACTGGAGGAGGTAGGTGTATTGCTGGCGGATCGTGGCGACAAAGTAGTTGATGCGGAGCATCTGCAGGATGGTGAAGAGGGTGATGAGGATGAACCAAGGGGTGCGGATCTGCGTGAGCGCCGAGGCGCCATGAAGGGCGCCCCAAACGCCGCCGGCGGTGTGGGGCTTGTCAGACTGGGGCATGGTGCTTGGCTCGGGGGTGGTGGGGATGGGGATGGGTTCGGGGGAGAGCGGGCGTTCAAGCGGGGAGGCGTCATCGTAGGATTGTGGTTGGAGGGTGGGGGAAGAGAGAAGGTCTTGGATTTGGCTGACAACGTTCTGACGGTGCATACGACGGTCGTTCCGTTGGCGTTCACCTTCATTGCGGTCCTGGATGGCGTTGTCGACGTGGTCCGTGGCTTCGGCTGCAATGTGAGCATGCGCTTCCTGCACAAGTTCACCGGCCGTCTTATAAGAGGTTGTGGGCATTATGGTGAGCTGGGCAGTGATGATAAAAATCGGGACAATGAGATAGATCAGGAAGAACCTGGTCGAGCTGAATGACCCGTTTGTGCTCTCGTTGAGAAGCCGAAATATAAGGAAGAGGGCGCTGGAGGCATCAAAGGCGCCTGTCAAAGTTGATAGGATAAGGCCCGAGCGGGCAGGGAAGGTGTTCGACAGGTGGAACGATGAGATGAAGACAAATGGTCCACCTAGGGAAAGGAACAGGTATCCAGGCATGTATCCGTCAAAGGGAAGCTGGTCGGAGAGTCCAAATAGTAGGGAGCCCAGTATAAGAGAAATGCTGCCAATGATGCCGCAGACGCGCGGGCCGTATGTATCGAGAATTGTTCCTACTGGTAAAGCAAAGACGTTGGTTGCAACTGCAGCGATGGTGAACATCAGATTCAACCTGCAGACAACGTTAGCTGGGTCTGCCAACAGGGATGCGTAATCTGAGGCGCGTACCGAAGCTCTTGTCCGTAGCACACGTCGGAATTGTTATCAAGCTCTTCTTGCGAACACCGGTCCCGATAGACACCCTCCCTGATCAAGACCGGCTTGATGGCCGCAAACCCGAAGACTATCCCCGCCGCAAGTAGACAGTATACTACTGCTATGCAGACCTGCGCTGTAAGTGCATTAGTACTGCACTGCATACGACGGTGGCTTCGAAGCCGTCCATGAAAGTCTAGCACTTACCAATGCGTTTGACATGGTTTACCTCAAACGCCCCCGTGGTCTCTCGGCCACCGGTCCACTCCTGCAACTTCGGCAAAGATTGCTCGGGCGTTGCCCCCTCTCTGTCAACCTCATTGAGCGTACTGATCTTGGTTGAGGCAGCTTGGAGAGGTGGGTTCTGCTCACTGGTAGCCTCATCCACAGTGGCCTGCCCCCACGCTGGTCCTGCATACGGGTTGAAATTCAGTCGATGTCTAAAAGAGTGGCGACTGATGTTGGATTGGAATGAAGATGATAGAGAAGGCTCCGGTAGATCATGATAGCTTTCCTCGTCCTCAGAGTCATCTTGATAGGGCTGGCGACGGAATGCAGCTGGATTCTGTTCCCAAGACTCCAAGTAGGAGACGCGGTTGAGAGACATTCTAGCTGGTAGGTTGTCCTGTTAGTCAGGTTCAGACCTGATGCGAGACGTCTAGTCTTTACCTGCGCAGATACCACCTCAGTACTTTCCGTTCCTGGGCACTTTCTGTATCTCAGTATATATATTTAGATGTACCGTATACCTATATCCGAAGTACTGTCAAGCTGATGTGCACGATCGCCAGAGACAGGTTGTGGAAATGATGGCTGGTTGATGGTGGAGTCGACCCGTTTTCGGCCCGTAGACCCAGCCAGCTATGAGGGGCGGAAATTGTGTTCTGACTCGAGGTGACGCCAGAACAATGGTGATGATGAGCGAAGGGGACTGCTGGACAAGAGGCAGGGATTTCCAGGCCAGTTTGAAAGGTCAATGGCTGTTTTGCAAGGAAAATATCAGCAGGTCAAGTGAAGTTGGCAAAGTTGCAGCAGCAGCTACAGCAATGAGGTAATGTCGAAAGCGGAGAAAAATAGTGGGAGGGAGAAATCACCTGACACCACCATTGCCACCACTGCTTGCCCCCGCATATCCCCAATAGGAAGCTGCCCTGGCTGCTTGCTACTTAGTACTTACCTGCTACTGACTAACTACACTCGAGTTAGTCATCCTCCTTGAAGTAACTACAGTAGTTGCTTCATTCAAGTAGCTGTACGGAGTCCACTCCATTCCACTTCACGGCCTTCTACTTCCTCTCCTTCTTCTCCTTCTGCCTCTTCATCATCATCATCATCATCATCCTTGTTCATCTGCACCTATACTCGCATGGCCTTTCCTATCTGCAATGCAAGCCAGCCACGAATGCACACTTTCCTTGGATTGCCCCATGATCAAGCCTTCCTCTTGGTCTAGCCCTTCCCTCAGTCCCTCTCGCTCGCAAAACCGAGTCGTGCTACTGCTGCTACTCTGTACTGCTGCTGCTACTTGGCCAGATTCGGTCACCCTCCGATGGGTCTGGAGCAAGATCCACCTGTCAATTGGCTCGCGTAGCTTTCGGCTCCATTGTCGATTTACACCCCAAACCTAACTCGGATGGAAACTAGCCTAGGCCAAGCGGCATCAGGGTTTCTTCTGTCAGCATCTTGACCTCACCTACCTTTTGGCCCCCTAATGCGGCCGACTGTTGCGCACGGCTGATATCTGAAGCTCACAAGCATCATAGCACTACCATTCATACCCCTGCGCAAGGTCTACACTGTTCATCGCCGTCTCGCTCGAGACGGGTTCCAACTGCAATGTGCTGCCAACCTTGATGTCACTTTGGCCCAGAGACCCAGTTACTCATATCTTCTTTTGACGCAAGAACGATACCGTCAGTCATATTCTTTCTGCAGATAATTCGGCTAGGAGATACATTCCGGATCGCCTGATTCGTCAAACACCGAGAGGCGCCATCGACGAAAAGAAAAAAAAAAAAAGGTACTGTACTTCTGCGCGCAGCATTGAATTGGGTCCAGAGACAGACATTTCTGAGACGGATGAACCATTCATCAGTGGTGCTAGATGCATGATTTATCAGTGGTGCTAGATGCATGATTTATCAGTGGTGCTAGATGCATCATGCATCACAAAGCATACGCCACAGCCTTGTGTGAACAAGCGTTGCACCTTACAGGAATATGTTACCACTCACCACTCACATCACATCGCTAGTCCACAGCTGGATCGTGAAGGCTAGCTGGACGCCAGTGGAACATCCAGTGAAAGCCCGATAAATGAGAGAATGATGACTATTGTTCGGAGAAAAAAATGCAGACTTGACAATACTGGGGACTCGGTGCTGATAAGCGCCACCAAGACCTCCCGTGGCTTGCTGTCAGGTTGACCCCCCTTAGAGCGATAGCAGACCATACCTAATTCAGCGAGCAAAGCCAGTTCCATCCTAAGGGCTGAAGGAAGAACGGGACTTCTGGACATGAAATTTCCAGTCAAAAGTGCCGAAACGTTGCTCACTAGCTCGAACCGAAACGCTCCGGTGCGGGTGCCCTCCCAAGTTAGCTTGCGAGTATTTTCTGCTTCGGGCAACGATCAGACGCGGCTGTGCCAATCGCCCTGCGCTTGTTGGAGAACAGCAAGACTAGGGAATAGGCAACGGATGGCTTCATCCGCTGCAGCTTTGTCTTGTTCCATCCTAAACCCACCTAGGAAGCAAGATAGTAGAGCACGGCGGGCTGTCATCTCTCCTCTCTTGGTGAGGAGCGCGCATCGAGTAGTCTAGAGATGTGCCCCTGAACGAATCTCGGGAGCCGTATGATGCTGGGCTCCAGTGTTCACGCTAAAAGTGGGATCTGCTCTCTTAATCTTCATCTATATAGGGCTTTTTCTTTTACCCTTTTGCCTCTTTCCTCCACTTCTTAGTTTGCTTTTCCACTTTGCAGGCCATGGCGAGCTCCGCTCCGCACGAACCATCCTCTCTTGGGTAATTAACCGTTTGAACGTTATTCTGCCCATCATAATCATTGTCGCTGGGGCGGTCACCCTTCTAGCTGCATCTTAGTAGGCCGGAACTATTGCTGCTGCTGCTCGGCTCTTACTTTTTAATACCTCATGCCAATGGCTTTGTCTGGCTGTTGATCTGGCTTGTTTCACAGGGCTATTGCGATTGTCAGCCCGAGCACTGAATCCGAGCACAGCGTGATGAGGGGATGGTAAGTTATATCTCGCTGTTCTTCGACGCTCTGATGTTGTATTTATCGAATAGTCATTCTGACCCTGTTGCTCTCGATTTAGTCTGACCTGCCGTCAGCGCCATATCAAATGTAAATCGCCCTCAAACCCCTCTCGACTGATCTCTGTCAGTCGAGGGAAATCCCCAGCTCAACGTCCCCTAATGTTGATACCAGGTGACAAGGCCGAAGACCAGTGCCTTCGCTGTCGACGATCGGGACGAGAATGCATACCAGCGCCTACAAGACAAGAAGAAGTCACTTTTCGCCATGGCCAGAACCCTTCGCTGCGACCTAGCGGTCCCCCGCGATACGGAGAAAGCGACCTCGTGTTTCCAACCGATCAAGTGTGGGTTCCGTTTCCAACTCAAGGTTTGTTCCTACTGGGGATGAAGAAGACCGTTTCCACTGATGAACGGCGAATGAAGTTTCTTTCGAAGATGAGACGGATCGGACAGCGGCGGATTATCGCGTGGTGCCCCTCGATGGTTCGCCTTTCGATCTGAAACATGCGCCCGAAAACTCCCCTCCATCGCCCAACGGGGCACAACATTTATCATCAGCCTCGCATCCGCCTCATTCATCGAGAGTCGCCGACTCGTCTCGAGTCCGTTCAGCTCAGCGCCTGGTTTTCCCGCTCACAGCTTTCCCGTCCCCTGATTTCGCCAGCACGCAGAAGCTGCCAATTTTCAATGAAGCTTTCCTCCTTCGATATTTCCGGAAGACACTCGGCCCCTGGGTGCTGTACCTCGTCTCACTTGTACTACGCTGGGACTTTGAGCTAATCAGCAATTTTAGCTAGACGTTTGCGATGACCAAAGTCACTTTTCCGTGGATGTGGCCGAACGAGCACCCTCACACCCTCTCCTATTGTACGCGTGTCTTGCCATCTCAGCGCGTCACCTCTCCTACACGAATCATACAGTATCCCCGGAGACTGCCGATGAATACCATGAACGTTGCATCCGAATTCTCAAGTCCGTCCTGGAGAACAGAGACTTTGGCACCAGCATCGAGATACTCCTTACTTCCACCGTAATTTTGCGGTTCTTCGAGCAAATATCCTGTAAGCTGGGCTAGTCGCGCTTTATTTACGGCATGCTCACATAACATGTACAGCTCACAGCCCTTCAAATGATCTCCAGAGTCACCTTCTCGCCGGATCCGTATATATCAGCTCTCAACTGGACTGCGCCGTATCTGGAGGACTTGCGGAAGCCTCTTTCTGGGTGTTCGTGATGCAGGATATACAATTCGCTCTAATGTATCAGAGACCTTTGCGTTTGACTCTGAGTCCATTTGCAGAGAAGCTATATCATGCATGGCAGCACAGGACAACTCAGGATGACCGAGACTGGACGCACAGGGCCATTTGGCTCCTCGCTGAGACGATCAACTACTGCTACGGGGCGAACAACTCAATGCACATAGAAGCGATTGATGGGGGTTCCTTGAGGCAGCGAGTTGACGCTTGGGAAACAATGAGACCAGACACGTTCAAGCCTTTACACTATTCAGGGCCAGATCCTGGACGTGGAAGACCTTTCCCATTCATTTGGTTTGGCAATTCACTGCACGGTATGACTCGATGCTTTCCTAGCTAATGCTCTAGGGCTGACATACTAAGTCTAGCTGCTGCGATACAACACATCTCCATGGCAAAGGCCTTGTTCCAGCAGCATGAGCTTCAGGCCCTGCAATCGTCTCCGCGATTTCGAGAGGGCATCCAGATGATCGAGGTTTGTTTTGGAAGCCTACTAAAGCACCACCATGGAACCTTCACTCATAATTCTCTAGGACGAGATTATCCTCAATCTTGGAGTCATATTTGGCATAGCTCTGTCGGCCGATCACGATCCAGCGTTGCGGATCATGGCAGGGCATACACTCTGCGCTTGTAAGTCATGCATATCCCTGACAATGCTGTCGTTGTAATCTGGGAAGTTACTTGTTCGGAGGCAGTGACTAACAGCACAACTCGCAGGCGGTATGTGGATTCGTGACCCGCTGGCTCAGACATGCCTACTAGATCTCCTTCGCAGGACGGAGGCGGAGAATGGGTGGCCTTGGGCATTTGTTGTGCAAAAGCTCAGCCAGGATTGGCAGCAGACTGCGAGATGAGGCCAAGGTATCAAAATCCTCGATAGAAGTGCTTTCGCTGCGTCCAAAGCCCTTCCATTGCGTGTAACTCGTGACTCCAACTGATAACAGACTGTTGACTTGTAGCAGAGGCTTGCCGGTTCTTATGCTACAGAAAGTCAATCCTGTTACATTGATGCCTGTGCAATCATCCTCGGCATCACATGGCAGCCAGCAATACACCGGCCGGCCTAACGCGCCTTTGCCACCTGAGCAAGGATCCTTTGACCAAGGATTGATTCTCTTGCTGGCTGATGTGGAAATACAGAATACCCAGCCCAGGTCATCCAAGGCACATGCACAGCCGCTTTCAGCAGAACGAGCAAAGCATATCAAGTTTAGACAATGCATAATGCGTCTATTTCTAATCTCCAGTGACCGCAGAAAGATGCAACGCTCACCTGAAAGTTTATATCCATGTTACACTTAGAAGCTGTAGGACCCGAAGTACACGCGAGCGGTCCTGTGAAAGTGTCAGTATATACACGTATGGCTTCCTGCACTAATGTCTAACTAGCGATCGCAAAATGCAGAAGAACTAGTGAACTCAGTACAGGCAAACCTTCACCATGAGGTCAACTCCATCCCGACCAATATTATTCCAAGCAATTTACCAGGTTTTCTGCCCCTGAGCACCATGAATGTAGACAGTGAGATCACCCTGGTCCCTGGTCATAGGATAAATGGCGGCCTTTACCCGCGGCAATTAGCCTGGCATATTCTCCAGAGAAGCGTCCAAAGGCTTTTCATCAAGCCCAGCTCGACCGGATTTATCCAACCTGTTCTCGAACACTCTGCGTGATAACATAATGTATTGTAAGAGTTCCCTCTGTTGCGACCACCATCCCAAAATCCCTCCAGACCCAGGCCCGAGACCCCGGGATCCCTCCCACCCCAAAACGCAGCTCGCGCAAAAAAATCTAAACCGTGCCCTCTCGCAACCCCTCCTCTCGAACGAAACAAGCCCATCAAGCATGTGATCCCGAGGCTCGTGGCAAAACGAAGTATGTATAGTATACCAGAAGCAGCGATCAGGGTTGTGCCACGCACGTGATGTTTGTTTCTTGAACACCCCAACCAAAACTAAGAATTGGTTGTTGGTTTTGAACAGGGATGATCCTGGATCGCTGAGGGGGTACCGCAGGCTGGTGGTAGATTTGGACGGTTGGGAATTGGTAGGGTTGGCTGGCGGCCGTGCATTCGAATATTTTTCGAGGGAGCTGCCCTTCCCGGCTGCTAGGAGTATATCAAGGTTGAAGCGGAATGGAGAGGCTAAAGTATACTAATTAGATAGATAGATAGATAGATAGATGGTCTTTGGTATGCTTTGGTATGCTCTGGTATACTCTTGGTCGCTCGTTGGTTCGTTCGTTGGTTCGTTCGCTCGCTCGCTCGCTCTGTACAGAGAATAGTACCCCTCCAACCATTTTTCACACTGTAACTAGTCGATAGTAGGCACAAAGATGCAATGCAATACAATCCCCGAACAGGGATCTACTCTCTTCCAGAAAAGACACGTATATACCTCCCGTCTTTTCTCTCGTGAAGAGCCCGACCGTATCAAACTGCACACCTACTCACATCACCACACCGAAACAACTATCAACTCCAATGAAGTGAAATATAAAGTGCAGAGCAGGGATATCATAATACATTTCTATGCATGGGGAAACTTATTCCCCTGAGCAAAAACGGTGACCAGTATATAGTATATAGTATGTAGTATGTAGTATAGTATAACTTCCCCCCTTAATAAAAGCCCATCCCGTCATCAGCCGGCAACGGAAGATCCAAGAACCCATCGCCGATCATACTGTGCAGCGTCAGCAGGTTCCCCGGATCGAACCCCATCTGCACGCCCAGTTCGGGCACGAAGAAGCCCTGCGGCGGGAACATCATCCCGCCGCCGCCGCCGCCGCCATTGGCACTGGCACTGGCGGGGTCCGAGTAGCCGGGGGGCAGGTCGGACATGCCGGAGCTGAAGATGGGGTAGTAATCCCGGGCGGGGGCGGCGGGAGCGGGAGCGGGAGCGGCGTAAGGGGTCCAGGGTTCAGTGGTTGAGTCGGTTGCGCTGGTTGGGGCGCCTAGGCTGCCGGGGTTGGGGCCGAGGGAGTGGGAGGTGAGGTCGGTGGAGGATACGGAGGGGTGGTTCGTGGCGGGAGGATGATTGCTGTTGCTGTTGCTGTTGTTGAATCCGGGAGCTGTCGGGTAGGGGATGGGTCGTTGTTCCCCTGCTGTTGCCAGATTTCCGGGCGAGGAGTGGCTTCGTGAGCTACTGCCCATGGCGACTTCGCTTAGGAGGTGCAAGGGCGTCTGGCTGGAGCCGGTGTGGTTCTTCTGTGGGGTGTTAGCAGTGGTGTCCATTGTGTGACTAAGAGCAGCAAGGAAACCGGTTCTAGTTCCAGGGAATGCCCTGGTGGCACTTACTTGGCCTTTGTCGTCGGGGTGGCTCTGACAATCCGACGAAGCGCGGCATACCGAGAGCGCTTCCTTCAACACCGGGCCCTGGTCTTTGCGCTTCATGAACCAGTTGCGTAGCATGGAGAGCACCACCCCGAACTTGGCAGGGGTCCGTCCGCCGGGGAGCTCGCCGGCGACCGCATAGTGGCGAATGACTTTGTCGAGGTAGTATTCCATCTTGAGGCTGCCCGCATCCATCACTTGATCCAGGCGTGTCTCCGGCGTGAAGACCATGGCGTAGAGTTTGATTAGCGCGACGACGGCAAAAGACGTGCGCGCAAGAGTAACCGTCGGTGCGGACACTAGCTTCTTAGTGTCAATCGCACAGATTGTATCGAGGGCGTCGTGGATGGCAGTGAGGCAGGAGCTGAGGGCACTGATGTGTGTTGCGCTGTTAGGACCAGCAACATCATCCCCGGTGGTCCGCGCCTCGTCCTTGCCATAATCAACATGCATGGCGTTTTCGTGCAGGTAGAGGTTGACAATGCAGTATGCTTGTTGAATGATAGCTAGAACCTCAAGTGAGCACAAGAACACGAACTAGGTGTGGGAGACTGCTTACGAGAAGAATGCTCCGGTAATGTTTCCCTCTTCCATTGCTCCAACTGCTTCTCGAGCGCCTTGAGAGTGTAGATGGACTTCGGGTCCGAGAAGGACACAATTGAGGGAATGTCATCACTCGCGCATTGAACATATATCTCTTCAATGATTTGTGCTAGCTTGGCCCACCGAACCATCGTTTTATCGGATGGCAATGCAGCCGGGGACTTCTCCAAAATCTCAACGCATTCATCCATGTATGGAAGCCATCGCACAAGATTGACTCGTCGAAGAGACACGGCAACCCTAGAACATAGATTAGCTAGCTCCTCCTGGAAGACCGAGAAGTAGAGGTTTGAGTACATACTGAACTGCAACGAAATAGCATGCCAACCAGGTTCGCCTCGTCTCCGGAGAGTCCGGATCCAGGACCTCAGATGACTTCTTCGCTATAATGTCCTTGAGCAGATTCATCTGCTTTCCTCTCGGCATTGATTTCCGATACAGACCCACATCCATAGCCAAGGTGACGGCCATATGCGTTAATTGATAGAACTTCAGTTCTTCAAAGTTGTCCGGAGGCGTGTACCAGTTACAGCAGACCAACAACGCCTGGACTAGCTCAAGGGATTTCTCCCCTTTGACAACAACCCGTTCCGCGATGACTTTATAGAAATCATTGACGAGTGGGATTTGAGCCTGGGGCTGAATAGTCCCTACCGCAACAGCGATAATCGCATGGAATAGCACTGGCTTCTTCTGCCGGACGTCCTCCATCTTCGTCCCGTGAGGGAAGACCACCATCGGAATTAGGAGCGCCATCTCCTCGTTGAATCGCGCGAATGCTTCTGCCGCTATATCGGCACTCACAAGGCCCCGGTCAATTATATCGGCCACTTCGTTGGCCCCCTCCTTAGCTGTTGAGTCCGACGGGTATCCCAGAGTACGCCATTGTCGTATCGCCTTGTTATAAATGGATTGTTCTTCGCTCGGACTAGACACCCGAGAGGTTGCGGGTGTGGTTTCTTTATCCTCCCCACTATGACCCCGTTTCCTCCCCACCATGCTCCGCGGCGACCCCACGGGCAAAGGCGACGGCTCATGAGATGCGACATGAGTCGGGGCCAGCCAATGCTTCGCCGCCGGCTCCTCGCGCGGTGGGGGCATTTGCACCGGCTGCAGCACGGGATCACGATCGTGAGACGCCTGGAGGCTCGCGGTGAGCGCATCGATCTTCCTCTCGAGCTCCGCGACGCGATTATCCGTCTTCTTCTGTCGTTTGCGAGAGGGGACCGTCACGATACAGGTCCGCCCGGCTTTCGCGCATCGTTTGCAGGCGCCATTGGCATGGCTGATGTCCGGTTCACATCGCACTTTCAACTGCCGGCACGCTTCGCAGGCGCGGGGCCGTTTCAGCTCCGCGTAAGGGTCGCTGGGGTCGACGGAGGGACTGGAAAAGGCGTCGATGCCCGACGTCGAATCCGACCGGTGTTGGGTACCCGGGACTCGAGGTGCTGCCAGCACGGAATGCAGCCGATCGGTCGGTGACGGATGTGGAGTCGCATCGGGATAATCTCTAGAAGCGACAAGCGGGTGGCCATGTCTAGACGAGGAGGATGGTAGATAGGGCGGGCGGGTTCCGGCGCGCTCGGTCGGACGTCCGCCGTCTCTGCTGTCTGCATGCAGACGTGGATCGATCTCCATCGGGGAGCGCGGAAACTGCGGAGTGGATATCACATTCATGGTCAGCCAGGCTCTATTCGCCGGGGAAGTCAGTCATCGGCCGCCATAGACCCAGGGCGGATGGCCAGTTGAGGTCATCCCGGTCGCGTTTCTCTCGGAATCAACGGGGGAATCTGGGCTGTTCGCCACGATTGCATCTTGATTTTTGAGGCTTACCCGAGCAACAGTCTGGGGCCGCAGGAGAGAAAATAAAGAAAGAAGAATGTAAGGAGTAAAGCAAGGCAGCGCGGAGTTGGAGTCGCGCAAGTCGGAGAATCGGACGGTCGGGAGCCGATGACCGATGGCGACTTGAGGAATGTGGTGGTGGTGTCGGTGGCTTGGCCCGGACTCAAAGTGAATTATAAACTGGTCAGTTCTGGCTCGCAATAAAGTGGTTAGGGAAACAGAAAAGAAGCAAGAGAAGGCAAAAGAGTGGGAGTTGTAAGAACAAGGAGGATGACCCAAGAGAGAATGAAGGACGCGAAAGAGGAGCTGAGGGGAAGCCAGTCAGTCACGGAGTACACACTCACTCAGTGATTCATCGCCCAACTCCGCATAGCTTCGAACACTTTCTCCCCAGAGGACAATTAATGGTCCACAGCCAAGTTGATAGCTGCAATTATATCTTTTCTCCAGCTTCGTCTCTTGTATGATATCTACGATAGTCTTCAACTACACAATAAATGATTGTATTCCGATCAAGGTTGCAAGATGGCAACAAATCCAATCCTGCCAGCTCGTCGAACACCAACAGAGACAGCAGATGAACCACAAGAAAAAGGATAAAGATTGCAACAGTATGGCAAAGAACACCGGCTCAAACGACACAGAAGCAGTTGATCCTCCCTCCCATATGAAGAGCAGAGAGTAAGACATGATCCGATATATAAGATGCGGAAGACCAGCCGCGATAGACTTCGCTCCACCCAAAAGCATGAGTGAGCTCCAGAATCAAATCCAATACTCAGGAGATTTTATGCACTGGGCACTCCTTCTTACGCTCAAACCACTCGACTATACATCGTTTATGGAACTTGCACAGACACTCCAGCCGCACGAGCGGCTGACCCACTTCGTACTCCTCCATGCAAATCGTGCACTCCTGCAGCCCACCATCGTGTCCAATGCAGTCCTTCTCCGTGGCTTTGAAGGTGACTAGCCGAACTGCAGGATGTGGCTGGACGGGGCTGCCGCTCTGGGGACTGGAGCGCCCGGGCCGACCATGACTTTCAATACATGTCCGAATGTGTGCTTCCCGGGCATCTTCGCCGCCAGTTGATCCCAGAAGCGGAAGCTCAGAGTCACAGATCGGACAGAGGTCCTGCTCGCGGACATGCGGCGGGCGTGTATGCGACGGCGGATGGGTGTGAGGAATCGCGGGCAACGAGCTGGCGCTGCCAGCGGTCGGATAAGGGAGAGGGCGTGTGGATGAGCTCACCGACCCAGATGAAAAGCGAGGGCTTGCCAATGCACCGTAGTTCATTCCGGGGACTCGCGGGGCAAATGGACCTCCGAATCCACCCAAGCTTGAATAATCGCTGACGCCAACAGTCTGCCGGCTTGGTCGCGACCCGAAAGGTTCAGTTTGGAGCTGCACATGACTGTGTTAACCACAAATGATCATCTCGCCGTCTGGTGCTTGACTGTAACTCACTGGTAAACTATTGTATAGACTCGGTCGAGTCGGAGAGGACAGCGAATGGTAAGAACGATGCCGAGAACTGGGTGGAGGAAAGTACGGAGGCCCTTCTCCCCAGCCTGTCGCAGCGACGGTGCCTGATCTTCCTGGAGTTTGAACCGTTGTGAACCCACGAGGCGGTTCTGGATTTGGGTCCGGCACACAGGGGTTGCAGAGTCTCACTTCCTCACCCCCGCCGAGGGCTGGATTTAATGTTGTTGGCGAGTGGACCGCATCGTCCCCTCCGGACTGGAAAGCCGAAGCAGCACGGGGAGGAACCAACGCGGCTGCGGGGGAGCGGGTGGGATCGCGCACTATGAACTGTCGTGGAATAGTGATCCGATGGGGTGAGCATGACGCGCAGACAACCCGACCACATTTCCGGCAGTGATGCTTCCTGTACCAAAAACTGAACGCGGTCCCACAGATCGGACAGTTGGTGACCTCAGTATCAGGCTGCCACCGCGGTCGAACATATTCCACGTAGTTATCCTGGGTTCGGGACCATGAACTTCGACGAGGATCATTCGGGGGCGCACCCGGCGGTGAGGAGGACAGATCAATCGGAGTAGCAAAGGAAGAGCCAGGCATCATCATGGCAGGATGTTGTGACTGAGTCGATCGGTGAGGCAACGACCTGCTATCCATTGTTCCTGCTTGGCGACTCGGACCAGCTTCTGTTGTCCACGACTGGGATCCGGGGCCACGGGGCCACAGCTCCCCCTCCAAACTGACTATCCTTCTCTTCCGATCTGACCCTGTGACAGTGGACCGTCTTCGCTCGGAGCGTTGATCGCGTGCAGCCTCGGTGGCCTGTAAATTTTCCGAACTCGCATGAGGCCTGAGAGCAGTGGCGGGCCGAGTGGCGGGGAAGGCGGCGGTGGAGGAAGCGGAGGATGAAGGGCTGGCCGAATTCGACAACGACGACATGAACCTGAAGTACGAGGGAGAGGTCGACGATGGTAAAGTCTTTGGTATCTGGGTCCCTGAGACCGAAGAGGAGACTAGTCTCCGCCGTTTGGAGGACGGGCCGTCATTGACTGGGTGGCGCGGTGATGCCAGGATGGGGAGGGCAGCCGGACGGGGAGATGATCAACAGCGGTAGACAACCGTGGGTATGCTTGTGTGCCAGAATATAAATGGAGAACCTTAAAAAAGAGGATGATTGAGCAAGGAGACGAATTGATACAAGTCACACAGAGCCAAGGGCCTTTGACTTTGTGCGAAACGACACAGGGCAACTTGGGTTCGGACTTCGGGCGTCAAGGATTAACTTAATGATAAGAGCGCATGCAGGAAGGTCTCGTGACAGACAGTCTGTTCGGAACGAACAGGAATCCGAGAGAAGAAGAGGGAGAAGAAGAAGCCTGAGCCAGAGAAAGTGCGCAGCCGATCCACAGCCACACACAGCAAGTGACAAGTAGTCTGGTCTGGGATAGGAGGGGGAGTGAATGATAGCCTAGGAGGAGTTTAAGCCAAAGGCCGGAGGGAGAGAGGGATAAATCATAAGGTGGAGATGCCTTACAGTAACTTCTAAGGTTTGGTTTGGTTCGGGTCCCACCCGATGTTTCGCCGCGGGGCAATCAAAGGCGGTCACAGCACTTTACTTGGCTTTCGCCCTTTTCTTTTCTTAATCTTCTACCCTGGTACAGTACATGTACAGTACTAACTGCTTTTCTTTCCACAACCATCGTGATCCGACCACATCAGGTGGCTGTGGGTACGCTCGTGTTAGATGTAAAAAGGTCATCGAAACAAAACAACATGCACATTGCCTAACTCTGCCAAGGAACTCTCCCTTGTCGCTTAGTCTGGCAGATCTGCGTCTAACCCAGTTATGGATTAAACCACAGTCATGGTGTAGTAGTATATGTTCAAGTATACTCAATAGGTAACCCAGCAATATTATCACACAAGCCCATCCTTCAAATCTCGCTCGCTACAGTTAAACTCAGCTATTACCGAAGATTGCGTACATGAAAGGAAAATGAGGACTCCAAGATATACAAGATGCGATCCACACGCTTGCAAGGAACAGATCATGACCGAAATCAGGGCCCGTCGGCTAGCACAATTTCACCAACACTGCTCGCAATGTAGACTCGCGATTGGATGGAAGGGCAAAAATCCGGGACGCATGTAGAAAAAAGGTGGCGAGGAAAGCAGAAAAACGCTAACCAGCAGATTGCAGTAAGATACTGATGCATATGTGAGGAGACCCAAGCGTATATCACAAACTCCGACGCATGATGATTTTGGAAGGCAACAGAGAATAAGAAAGAGATTCGTGAAAGGGGAGGAGGTGGTGGAGAGGATAGGGTAACCAGACTGCTCCCAATTGTCGCTTCAGTGGTCTCCCTCGGGGTGATGTGCTTCAGTCACCAGTTCCGCAGCACTGCCTGCAAATGATGGCTCATCCGGACTGGCTTCATGAATGTTATCCTGCGTACGAAACTGGGCAACATAACCCATACTGGATGGGCGCTCGATGCGCAGGTTCTCCGAGTTCCCATGCCGACGGCTAGACGTAGTTGAAGCGGTCGTTGAGGCAATAGAGAGGTTACGGTCTCGTGAGGGAGAACTAGCTGCACTGAACGGCAACCGGCCAGTCACAGAAGCCGAGGGGTGAAGGTGGTTGTGAGACTGAGCAGGATTATTCTCTTCAGGTTGATTGGAAGTGGCCGTTTCTTCCGGGGCGACCACAGGAAGAAGTTCACCCGACAATGGTGCCTCTTCCGCTGTGGGGCCGGGGGCGCCTTCTTGCTGAGTAATCTGTCGCTCAGTCGATGGTGGTTGAGAGCTAGAGTGAGAGCCTACACGACTAGGGAGCTCGATAGCACCCCCTGTATCAACGTTTGGTAGGGTAATTGCGATCTCTGGAGTCCGTTCTTGGACCTCGCTCTCGGAATCATTGTAGTCTCGGTCACTATCCGAATCTTGATGGGCAGGGTCTGCGGCCTCCGGTTCCTCGGGTTCGTCTGTATAGGGTTCATGGAATTCTTCGCCCTCGGGAAATAGACCCGGCGGTGGTGCCCTAGCACTCCGGACGACTTCAAAGCCTTTTCCTTTCTCCTTAGTCTTCCCTCTGAACAAATTTCGGAAGAAGCCAGTGGCGGATGAGACAGGTCCCGTAGGGTCAGCCGGGCCTGTCTTCAGTTTGCGCGTGCCCGACTGTGATAGCGGAGGGCCCCTCACACGGTAATAAAAATCAACCTCCCGTACTGCATAGTCTGTTCTAGACTGACGAGGATCTTCCAAGTCGAGATCGTCCTTGGGTGCTGGAAGGTACGCAGGGACAGGGGTATTCCTTCCAGAGATAGACGGGCCTTCCATAATATCGTCATCCACATCTCCATAGCTCGCTGCTCGTTTTCTTGCGCGAGACTTCTCCCTCGATACACCTATCTCAATGATCTTCTTGCGAGGCCTGGGTGGTCGGTAGTAAGGGTCATGGGGATGCACGGCGAAGACAGGCCCGCTCTTGGGCGAATTGCTGCCCGTCGTCTGATAGCCTGGTCCAGCGAATCCACCGGGGGTTGATGGCGTGAAGAAACCACTGCTATTGGCTCGACTGTGGGTTCCACCCTGTGCGCTGCCTGATTCGAAGAAGGCACTCGCGCGGCCTTCGCTCGCACCCGCCCGATGCAGAAGCATAGCAGAACTTCCGGAAAGACTTCGAGGTCTGGATCCATCGAATTGGGAAGAGAGGCGGTCATCAGTATGTGCCAACATCGCAGCCTCAGAGCCCATGCTCTGGCGTGTACCAACACTTTGTCGAGGAACACGACGTGACAGCTGCCGCATACCAAATACCTTGACCAGACCACCTCGGGTCACCCCACCTTCATTGCCTCCCGCTCCGGCAAGTCGTGCGATAACCTCAATCAAGGTCTGGAGAGCATTGAGGAAGAAACCGAACACAAGCACTAGGGCATGCAGAAAAAGGATAATGTATCCGATCCAGCCCCGTGCAGCCTGCGAAACACCTAAAGAGGGGACGAAAACAATGCTGAGTAAGATTGTGAGGAAGCGGATGATGGAGAAACAGGCATGATAGAGGTTCATGGAAGTGGGTGATGCAAATGGTCGGAACGCCACCAAGGTCAGAAGTGAGACCACCTCGCAAATGGCGAGAAGCACAATTTGAGCGATTCCTGACGGCTGCAGTGCTCCAATAGCGATACCGCGGGCGAACGAAAGGAAGATCGGAACCAGAGCGAAGGCGGCCGCATCGTCGCAGAAAGTGTTGTAGAGCGGGCCATACAGAAGGACCGTCGAGAGGTCATCAAACAGGTACGATTTCGGGCGCGTGGTCGCGATCAAGCGAGTGGTCCAAATGGAGAACGATGCCAGGATCAAGATCACAACCACCGCTAACGCAACACAGTAGGCCGGAGACTGGCCGGCAATCACGAGCTGGAAGAACGAGAAAGACATGAGTGGCAGCAGCAGATAGTTGAACACGATCCGGATGACGTTTCCAATGGTGAAGGGCATGTTCTTGGACCGAAGGTCTTCTTCCGGCACATGGGCAATCGTACGATAAAGCGTGCGAAGCCCGAAGGCTACTTGGATCAGAACTGTGATTGAGACGACAATCACAAGCATCCAGACCATCATTCCAGGCCAGATGTCGCGTGATGTTGGCAATCCCACATATTGATTCATCCTGTCCAAACCGTAGGTAGCATTGACAGTATAGACGCCATCAACTACAGGATTCCGCTCATTGCCGGGGTCCAGGAGGCTTTGATTGAACATAAGGGCCGACCAGGCGACTTGACTAACCACAGGTTGATAGTACCCAGGGTAGTCCAATGACAAGGCTCCAGTAAGCACAGCGAACTGTATGTAGTTCAGACAATCCCCGAAGCCCGGGGTCACTAGACGAAGGACATCCTCGTCACGTCCATAGTTGCTAGTCCAGTGAAAAGGGTCGGTGGTTCCCCATGGGCTGTAAATCGCAGCAGTGATAGTAGCAATCCCGACCAGCAAGAGAATGACCAACGGGATATATGTGATTGTATTTCGAAGCGACGTTCCAAGGTCAGGGGTGATATCCACACTGATACAACCAATCCGTGTGGCAGCAGCATCGGCGGACTTGATTGTTAGACGTGCTGACAAGGTCGAGAAATGGTACGCGGATTGCATGTCATGTTGGACCGAGAAAGCTCGCAGGGCCGAAAGATCGCTCCTAGTCAAGGCGAAGGTGAATTAGTTGTGGTCAAGAGATTGAAGGAAGAGAACTCACGCATTGGTGTAGAACACGGGGCCCAACGGACAGCCTCCCTGAGTGACAGAGTCACAGAATTTCGATGCATGATTATATGGATTCCAACTGAGCACATTGATCTCCGACAGAAGAGTACTCAGTTTATTGCTTGCAGCATCGTAATCCACGATCTTCCCCACCGTATCATTCGGATTGGACCAGTCGGGACTATCCGGGCTTGGATATGTTTCCCCATTGGCTGTACCAGAGACGTTCCCATAGACCGTGATATTGAGGGGGTTGAGAGAGTCATGCAAGTCGAAAGCGACCGACACGTCAAGCGGGACGAACTGGAGTTGTTTCGGATTGGATTGGATGACAGCAGCGTTTAGGCAATTGGCGAAATTCAACAAGGCGGCGTAAGTCGGCGATACACACGACATCAACAACACCAGTACTATCCAGCTCACTCCGGCAAACAGTGACCGATTGTTGCGCCATCGCGGTCGCAGTCGGCCAAGGCGCTGCGATCTTCGGGTTTGTAATCCAGATTCTTTGGTTTCAGGGACCTCAACTCCATCTTGGCGTGGGACCACCATGGTAAAGGGAATATTGAGCCGTCTTGCGCCGCGTCCTGGACTCATTTCGGCCACTCCGTGTAACTGGGATGACCTCCTCGGGGAGGTCAGCCCCCTCGTAGACGGTTCGATCCACGTTGTCCTAGCAGCGTCTTTGCCTTGTCGATCAAACCACAAGATTTACCCAGTAAGACTGGTAACCGCGCGAACCTCTCCGAGCTCTCGAAAACAACTCAACGATGAATGGGGAGGGGGGGGAGGGACCAGGTGATGTCGAAACCCTGAATGCGAATAAGTAGATGAAGTGGGCGCAAGGGAAGCGGTTGAGACAGAAGTCGAAAAGGAGAAGTTGATTACTCCTCTATCTCCCCCGAAATGGCGATGTAGGGGATGCGCACCATAACTTCGGGGGTTTGGGGGTGGGAGGGATGTGGATGGCGGGGAAGGGGAATGGAATATCGCAAGGTCGGGAGAGCTTAAGCTGTCAACACGAGGAGGAGGAGGAGGAGGAGTCGGTCGCAATGATGACAGTTAATGAGAAAAGGGGCGGGGAAGATAGGTCTGATGTCAGTAAGGCTTGAAGTTGGAACAGCACAGCCGTGACAAAGAGAAGGGGAAGAAAAAATAGAGAGAAGAGTAGGAAAAGATTAGCATGGTTAGGGAATGCGAAATCCTCCCCCCCTCTCAGACTCAGTCTCTCTCTCTTTCTCTCGCTCACTCACTTGCTCTTCAGTCTCACCAAGGCCAGGCCAGATCCAGCCCCAGACAGTCAGACACTAGTCAGTCAATCAGTCAGTAAGTTTCAGTCTCAGTCACGGTCATGGCCTGTCAGTGCCAGCTCGGGAATGGAGGGCAAAGAGTCCTCCAGCATTAGCCAGCATTAGCCAACACCAGCCAGCACCAGCCAGCCAGCACTTTAGTTTCAGTTTGGTTTGGTTGTGGTGCTGCTGACTGCGCCCTGTTTGCTCACTTTGCTGCGCTAAAACAATTGACTGATTGGGGCGGGCGGCGGGGACTGGGTTTTTTTTTTAGCGTGTTTTCCAAGATTAGAAGCGACTCCCCGACCACACTCCCCGAAGAGCAAGAGAGAAAGAAACTCAAAAGAATAAGGCCCGTATAAAACTTGCTTGGACAACCAGACAGAACATCCATGGTGGATAAGCATCCACTCCTCTGGTCTTGGAAGAGAGAGAAATCCCTGAAATTGTCTCAGCCATGCTACCACTTTTACGGGTTACAATTTACGGACTCTTCCTTCTGCTTTGTTGAGGATGGTTTTCCATCCCACTCACTGCACAGTACTCCCTCGATTGGGAGTAGAAAACTGTTGCACAACAATCAAATCAAGTGTGCCACCAATACGCTTACATCTCGTTCAGAATTCCAATGCAGCAGGGTGATCTTAGCATTAGACAAAGTGCTCTTTATCGTCATAGGTGCTCTGTGGCGCTCCGTTTGCGCCATGCAATGGAATATATATCTTTCCGGTACAGTGCAGCTCAATCGAGACTATTGAGACAGCACGATGTGTTTACTATACTCCGTGGCATCAAGCATCCAGTCGTGAAGAAAGACAACCGAACTCGCCTGGTGAACTCTTCCGGGGAAATGGTGTATGATTGGCTCGTCCAATGACCATGCTAGTATTGAGCGACTAGACTACAGTACTGTAGCCCTAGATATCCTCCATGATAGTGATGACAGGTGGGGACCGGCCACCTAACTCCAAGGCTGTTGGCGGCCAAAACATCCTGTAGTTGTGCCAAAAGTTACCTGCCGGCCACCGTGCTAGCTCGAAATAACTGTTCAGATTGACTCTTCCTGCTTCTACAATCTAGTGTAGATACAATCATATATCAACGAGCTGCCCTGTGGTTCCAATCAAAAATCACATGGTGCAAGATACGAGGGCTCATCGTGCATGAAGAACGGCGCTGTCGCCGCCTTAAGGGAGCTAAGCAGGTGGTAACTAGCGGCCAATTCACCGCTGGTTTGCAGCCCCATTCTTTTGGACCACAAAGTGAGAGAAAGAGAGAGATGTCTACTGAGACAACAGTCTAGTTTTTTCCAGAGACACTCTCCCTAAAACAGGAAGGTCCCGATGTTCGACAACTCGTCAAGCCGAACCCTGGTCAATAATAGGGGCAGGCAGAAGGACGTTTAAGGAGAAACTGGAGGGGAGGTTGAAAACAATGCAGCTGCCTAGTCGTGCAAACTCGGACATGAGCCCATTGTATTCTTGTTATGACTGAGATCCAAAAGTCCCTACTCAGACTCCCAGAGTCTTCATCTGCACGATGAGGAAAGCTTAGCATTAAATCGTCGCCGGACAGCGGTACCACGTCGCACTTGTGCTGGACATTCTGTCCTACATTCCTCTCCCACTTGAAGAGCTATGTATGCTTGTCTATCCGAAGCTCGGTATGGAGAGACAGAGGGCTATCTGGCTTGGAATCCAAGACCGGAGAGCAGCCTGTGGAGACAAGTAACATTTCCTCATTGACTAGGAATCTTTTGACTTGCAGACTCTGGGACTTCGCAGCAGCATACTGCTCCGATAAACTTCAAGTTGATCTGCCGAAGACAGCTAGGTTACTGTCCCTGTCACACTTAGACATGATAACACTGGGCAATTCGTGTTGGGACACAATATTGTACGCTGCATAAGGTCGAGAATTGGACAAGAGACACTTGCCAACGTACTCCGACTATGCGCTGACATGAACAAATATTGGCCGCCCGAGGAGATGAAAGAGGAAAGTCGGCATGCAAGCCTGAAGCAGTCTCCCTTCCGGTCTTGACCTAGGCAGCTAACCGACTGTCCTTCCCATTCGAATTGAATGTGCTTCTAGAAGCCGGCGAAATTTGAAGTCTGTAATCTGACCGGGGATAATTCACTGAATGATAGCTCTGGCGTGGTTAGTCCTGGTTTGGGTTCGCAGTGTGAATGGCATGACGGTTGGTTTGTCAACTTGCGACCCGAAGAACCCGGGGCCATTGAGAATCATTCACCCAGGTACAGGGGACGGACGGAAACTGAGTTAACTACTTCTTATGGTCACCTAAGTACCTGCTTGCGATCTCCTCGCAGCTGAAGCTTTATGGTCGATACAGTTCAGCAGTCTGCCTTGACTTACCATACGTGCCGATAAGATGCATCTAGACTGAGCAAATAACCGCAGGGCAGGGGGATCTTCTGTGCAAGGTTACATTCCCGAGGTACCTAGCTATGGGCCAGAATATGCCCGTCTTCAAGAGACTGGAGATTCGGCCTGTAATTCTTGATCTATGAAGGGTTTCAAGTACCCAACATCGAATTTGATTTGTCAATCGCCATCACCCAGCAACGACAAGCCATCATGCGAGATGATCTGCCGAGCAAACGCGGGAAATGATTGATAGCAAACAAGAGCACCCCAGGAACCCTCGATGATGGTCTCGTGCCGTTGCGACCAATACAATGGGAGATTGCTGAACGACGGCAATAAATTGAGGAAATCTGAGGAGGATTGCGACTCAATCAACTGATGCGGTCTGAGGACACACTTATGGAAGTATGTTCTTGTAGCTGGTGCATAAACACCTGCGGTTTTCAGCGATTGATGAGGTTGTTGATACCTTCGCCAATCCCCATGACTCGTAGAGGACTGTACTGTAGGGTACCTAGCCCTTTGCAGTGGCATTGAGTCGCATTGACCCTGGGATAGAGACCACCACTATCCTAGGTTTATTGAGGTGATTATTCTCTCGAGAGTTCTGCCAGGTAAGGGGAGGCAAACATAGTATTGATGCCTGGAGGGTAAAATGGAGGAACTATCACCATAATTACCTATCCCCGGTCGCCCCCCCCCTCGCAGTGGCAGCCGGGCATTCCCAAGGAAAAATGGGAGGAAATAACGACTTTCTCAAATAATACTCATAACAATCCTCTAGTCGTCCCATCATGGATGGCGGGAGTGCAAGGTTTCAATGAGCGACCCACCCAGAGCCAGACTAAGACCAGATAAGGCAAAGAGCGGTTTCAAGATTTCAGGCTGGGATCAGCCAACGGATGGAATGCACAGCTTTGTGGGGCGGGGAAAAGGCCAACTAAACAGCCCACACTCTCTAATCGGTTGCTCTGATAACAGGGGGGGCCCAGTTGATGCTGATTCGATTTGATTCAACCCCGTCTCACCCCCCCAAGTCCACGTCAGTTTCAACCTGCGGCGGCCAGTAAATTAGTCGACTTCCCTAGGCAAGTGGATATGGTGGTCATTTACTGATCCTGCTCCTATCCGCCGCATACGTGTACAGCGTCGTGGTCGTGGTCGTGGTCGTGGTCGTGGTCGTGGTCGTGGTCGTGATGGTGATCGTGGTCGGTGTCGTCGCGTGTCATTTGCGATCTAGGATCAATCTTTCCAGCTCAGGGCTTCTTTCGTCTATGGCCTATGCCGGCAGATCGAAGGGAAGGGGTTGTCGAAAGGATTGCCGCCCGAAGAAGGAAGCGCTTGTTAGCTTCAGGTTGGAGCGAGTCAATGAGCGCAGCACTCAGCGAACCCCCCCCATACCGGGAAAATAACCGAAGCATAACAGACGAAAATGATCAACTTATCCGAATAAGGTACAGTACGTACATGAGTGGTACTCTGTATATTGATATATAATATATATGCCAATATGAACCTCCCGTTATGGCCGTGCTGGTTATCACCACGTGATTGACATGTTTATGGCCCGGAAAAATGGGGCAGGGGGCGCTGCTCAAGGTTGTCGGCTAAGTTAAACATACCTATCAGCACTAAGTCAAATACCTCCTACTGAAACCACCATCGGTATTAATAGATCCATAGGATATCCGGTACATCAAAGTAGCTTGATGGGTGAGACCAGCAGATGGTAAGACATCAGGCCGATTTGTCTGCAGGTGAGTGAGTGAGCATTGACTCGAGAGTTTGCGGGGACGCTGGCTGTCGTGGCTCGAGGTTTAGTCAGTTGTGGTTAGATAAAAAGCGCAATCAGTAGAAAATACGGAGTACTCAGCAAGTTACTCCGTACGGTAGTTGCTCTGTACTCATGCTAAGTATTCATTCTCGTAGTGGTAGTAGTGGACATTTGCGGGGGCCGGAGAATGGCCCTTTGGTAGGTAGTAAGTACAGTAACTTAGTACTGAATACGTAGTAAACTGTCTTAGGAACTCTTCTGGGCTTCCCCTCCCCCCTCTCAACCCAAATCTAATTCCTCGGTCGCAGGTGAGACTTAATACCATAGGTTCAACCGTCCCCGTTGTTTTGTGCCCACATGTTCTTTTCCCTGGTGCTGTTTATGAATTCATTCCTCTAATCTCTCGGTCTTTCTACCTCTCCCCGGCGCCCCTTTCCCTCTTCCTATTGCGCTGTTACTCTTTCCAATCTTCTTCTCTTCTTCTTTTTCTTCTTCTTCTTCTTCTTCTTCCTCTATTTTCTTCCCCTCCTTCTTCCTTACGTGCACCAGGTGTTTCTTTCCCAAATAAGTCGCAAGCAGCTGCTGGACCAGCGCTTGGCAATCTCTCCCTTTCTAGAGTTCTTATCATCTGTACAGTACAGCCGACGGCGCATCGAGCAACTGTAAGGCGCCTCAATTCGTCTGCACAGGCGTTGTCCGGCATTATATCTAGCCTTTTAATGTAGGTGATTGCCTATTCCCTGCTACCATGTCTCTTCTCGCTCGTTTGCGGCCCTCTTCCCCCCTGAGCAGTGCTTTGATAACCTCATCTCCTCTTTGTTCTACTGTCTCCGTTCTGAATGGTGGTTTAATTGGTCTTGGTAGATCGCTTGTCCGCGTCTCCACACCGGTCAACGAAGGCAATCGCGCTTGATTCCCCCTCATTTTCAGGGAACTCCTCTGGTCGCAATTCGAATCCTTGACTGTAGCACTGGTTGACTTCAATTCTTCACTGCAGCTTTTGGATCTCGTCCAGCAGCGCATAACAAACAAGCTCGCTGAAACCAAACGTCTTGAGCTTGCCCGCCCCCCTCCCTCGCCCTCGCACAGTCACTATTTCGTCCGATATAGTTTGTCCTCGGCTACCTCACAATCGACTCCAAAGCTTCATCCAAAGTCCCTCCTGTCGATCATCCCCCTGTCCAATCCTCCAAGCAGCGCACGAGCACTTGCAACCTAAAGCCTGGTGGGGGAACACGGACTTGCATCAATTGGCAATGCTGTATAGCAACTCATAGCAAATCGAAGGAATATACCCACAAGAGAACTGGCCAGCATGTCCACAGAGGACCCTTTTGCTTTCCTCGGTGAGGAACCGAAACAAACACCTGGCAAGAAGCCGCATTGGAGGGAGAAGTTGTTTTCCAAGGACAAGAAAGCCAGAGGATCGACAGACCAGCAGATTGAGGCATTCTTGGGACCTACTCGCTCCAAGTCTCTGTCCTACGGCGCAACAACCACTCAGCGCGAATTGCGGCCGCTGCGTCCTGATGCTGCCAGTCGCTGGCCCTCTGCCCAGGATGTGCTCAATGCCTCGTCTTCAATCACCGCTGCCCACGATGTTACTCCAGTAGCGGACTTCACGAAACCTCCATACAAGAGTCGTCCGCGCAAAGGAGTGAAGGTGAGATTTGCCGATCGCAAGCCCGAAGTCATTGGAGAAGGAGGAGATGAGGTAGAGGTTCCAACAATGGAAATATCCCTGTGTCGTAACAGGGCTCAAAGCCTGGAATCAACTGAGTCAGACAGCCAGTCCGAGCCGGAAGGGCCTCCTCAATTGCGTCTCGATACCTCAATTGGAGCAAATGATGCGCCTACGTCCCGTGAACAACGCCGCGAACATCCTAAGGCGCTGGCACTTGGAACAAGAGCAGAGGACTGGAAGCCGGTTCTCCTCCATAATGCTCAGGATGCAGATTTCTTGATGACCCTGAGTCTGGGAGAAAGAGGTTCCCGGCTGTCATTTCGAGCCTCACCAGAGTCCAATTCGTTTGCGCAGCGCGTTCGGGCGAAGATGCAAGCTGAGGAGGGTCTTGCTTTGCAACATCGACTTTCAGATCCTATGTCGCCCGGTGATGAGAACGAAACTCAGTCCCCGGCCCTGAGAGTTCCGGATAGCCCTAGCTCGACCTACGAGACGCCTCCGATCTCCGAGACAGAGCCAATCCCTCCAGAAAACCCATTCAAAGACTCTCCAAGTCCTCCCTCGGTCACCCGATCTGTGGCGTCGGAGAGACCTGTTCTTTCTCCGGTTCTGTCCACAAGTAGCAACATGCAGACACTTTCCTCTCAGATCCGACAGTCGAATCCTAGTCTACCCGTTCCAGAAGTTGCAAGCCGACCGTCCAGTAGAGACGCGCGAGAGACATCTCGCAGTCCACAGCCGCCTAAGTTTTCTCTCAAGTCTATTGCTAACCAGTTAGGTGACACTGCTTTCGCAGACCTGAAGGGGTATGTGGTACAATTCCGGGACCCAATTGAGATTGCCGCCGAAAGTGCAAAGCCACTTGTTGGAACCCCGCTTTCAGAATGGATGAAGGCAGCATTGTGGTGGTTTCTGCGTGGAAAGAAGAGACTAGAATTCTATGCCCGATCGCGCCCTTCGAGTTCGAGTTCTGGTGTCCGATCACCGCAGAATCGACCCGCAGAGAGCGCGAAGCAAGCGATCGTCGATCTCGCGAAGGCGTTGTGGATCACCGAGAATATTGTCCCCCAACATGAGGAGCTGGCTCGATACGGTTCAATGAGCGTGGACGCTTTGCTTGCCGTGGCGAGTACGACTGGCAACAAGGAGCTGGCAGATCTTCTAAGCCTGAGTCAAACCATAACGAATCATCTGCGGTCGTTGGCGATGTCTATCAAGAGGAACAGTATTCTCATGACTCTCGCGCAGGAACGTTCTCCGAGTGACATCGATAGCACCGTCTGGGTTCAGTATCCTGCCTTTGCGCCTGACGTTGCTGCGATTTTATCGGGAACAGCGACGAAATCTCTCCTAGCTGACACCTCTGGGAAAGCACACAGCTTCGTGCAGATGATGCCACTCGGCGATACCAACCGCTACTTCAGCTATGGAAGTATGTTTGTTGACGTCTGTATCACATCGAGCGACGATGATGACAAGCAACATTCTATACCATGCGCTCTGTCCATAATCCGGGACAGGGCTGACTGGTACGTTTTTGCGGCCATAACCAGTCAGAGCGATCTGGTCGATATCGTGATACAATCAGATAAGAAGAACGGTCCTACGTGGGAAAGTGTCAATTGGCACGTCCGGTCACACTCAATGCGCGTTAAGCTTCCACGCGGCTTTGAGTTACATGTTCAATTCCAGGAAGAGGATTTTAAGAACATCTGGAACATTGTTCAGTACACATCCAAGACCGAAGCGAGTCTCAAGCCAGAGAAAAACGAGTCACTAGTCTACGAGAACACCCTTAAGACTTTCCGATACATTGACTCTGTAACTCCCAAAGCCTTCCCTTCCGAGCCTGTGGAAAGATGCCGTATACGCCTCTTCGAGAGAACTGTGCCGTTGACTGAGGGCACAGGTCAGCGTATGCAGCACCAGGGCTTCCGGATAGCGATACTCACTAGTCCGAAAGTCAAGACTCTGAGCAGTGTGCGTCACGTTCTCGGCAATGGCGCCCCAATAGTCTTCGGCCTTCTCCGTGGTGACGATGGGGCACCAGCTCTTCTTTTGAAAGTCAAGGAGGATGGTAGAACCAGGTCTATGCTGATGGCATTCGAAGAGCTCGAAGAGCGAACAATGTTGCACTCCCTCCTGTTGGGAATACTTCCGCAGGAGCGAGAAGCGAAATCACCAGATATCGCCATTCGGGCCTTTACACTTGAGCAGCCCGCGGATCGAGTTTCAGGAAAACCCGCCAAGGAACATATCCAGTTCCCCGCTGGCACGATCTCGATCATAGATGAGCAGTATACACGACCGGATCATGGTTATGGCCCTACCGTTCTTTCGGAACATTTGCGTGCCTTCATCGCGACGGAATGGGGCTCGGTTACAGACCGTCTCAATCTCGGTATGTATGTGGATATGATGAACTGGTAACATGACTGACGTATTGCAGGCCCTGGTGAGTTGAAGCTTGGCCTTGATGTCAACAATCGAACAGGCCTTAGCCTATATCGACCGGGCCAGAAAGATCTTACTGTTTCTGTCGCGGAGAACATGGTCATTCCCGAGATGCCTGATAATTTGACCGATTCTCTTTCAAAAATCATGGCAAACCCGACGATTCGACGCTTCGACTTTGCAACCGTGCAAGGTACGGTTCCTATACTCCTGGCAGCATGAACACCAATTAACTGTCATTTTAGATCTGCACACATTTCAACAGGCCGTGACTGGGTTCAAGGTGCTTTTTGATAGGTAGGTTCCCTGGGAGATTTTCCCTCTCTTTTCTTCTGAAGCTGAAAGGGCAATAGTGTGGCCTCATCCTTCGCCATATCACGGCGTCGTATGGTAGTTCCCATCACTAAGAAATGGGAATCGAGCCTCGCCCGGGTCCAGGTCATCCGTCGGGATAGAGTCGTGCAACTTGTGGCCTTCCTCAGCGATTTCCAGTACGGCAGGTGCATGAACTTTGTTCTAAAGGGCACAGACACTCTCGAGTCATTCGGCAAAACCGGCAAATTCGGCGTTCGCATTGTCGATGCTAAATTTGCGTTGCCAAAATCCGACGACGATCCCGCCTCCAACTTTCTATCTCTGGATACACCAGATTACCCAATGGAGCATGACGATATCTCGATTGCCTTCGACTCTGAAGCAGGTATGTAGTCGGTCTGTCACTTCTACTGTTTGAATCCTGCTTGTCTAGGTGTCTAATCCGGTGGGGGTGTTTGTGTAGACCGGACCAATTTCCAAGCCGCTGTACCAGGCTCCGTCCGTGAACCATCGCGGATGGGCTCCCTTCGCCGATAATCCATTAAAGCCCGACAGTTCCTCCCCACTCAGACCCGAGAGAACTCCTTTTGTTTCCAACCTCTTATCTGGTGTCGGAACCGCGTAATGTCACGCCATCTCAGCTCCACCCCGCATCAGTCACGTGTCGACTCACCGCCATGGAGCAGCTCTTTTCCTTTCCCCCACTTTTGTTTCATGTCGCCGGCAGGGCGTGCCGCAGTCCCCGGCTTTGACTTGCCCCCGTCTCTTCCCCAAACCGCCCTTTTCATCCTTATTCTCCATTATCAAATCAGCTCCTGTGTGACATAGCACAAAATCCTCTGCTAGGGCTGTTCTTGCTACTTCTCGTTGAAAGGAAAAGCACAAGATGGCTCCTACAAATCGAGAAATGGGAACTTCCACGCGCTCACTTCATGCGGATGATGCGCTAAATGCGGTTTCAGACGTTGCTCCTCCAATTCACGTTGCCACTACTTTCCGGTACTCCGATAACCCCGACGATCTCGTGCCATTTGCAGACCTTACAGACGACGTATGTCTCGAGCTACCCATATTGATCGCTCTGGGCGCTTCTAACAGTCATGCCGCAATATAGAACGAGCGAGACAAAACAGCACACATATACTCGAGATTGTCGGCTCCCAGCTCTACGCGCTTTGAAGCCATTCTCTCATCCCTTCTCAATGGCGAGGCCATCAGCTACTCTTCAGGGTTGTCAGCCCTACATGCTGCGCTAACGCTGCTCAACCCTCGTCGTATCGCGATCGGAAATGGCTACCATGGGTGTCACGGTGTGATCGCACTTTTCAGCCGCGTAACTGGACTTCAGAAACTGGACCTCGACTGTCCCGCGGAGAAATTGGAAGCGGGCGATGTAATCCACTTGGAAACGCCAGTGAATCCCGAGGGAACCGCATTCAATATCGAAGCATACGCCAAGAAGGCGCACTCGCGGGGGGCATACCTTATTGTTGACGCTACATTTGCACCTCCCTTCCTTCAAGATCCGTTTAAGTGGGGCGCCGATCTGGTCTTGCATTCGGGATCCAAATATTTTGGGGGCCACAGCGATGTTCTATGCGGTGTGCTTGCCACTCAGCGCGAGGATTGGGCCAAGCAACTACTGCAGGACCGAATCTTCCTGGGTAGTGTTATGGGGAATATGGAGAGCTGGCTGGGTGTGAGGAGTCTGCGGACTCTTGAAGTGCGGGTTCAACGCCAGAGCGAGAATGCAACCAAGCTTGTTTCGTGGCTACATCAAGCGCTTTCCGCCCAGAATCCTGCTTCTGGTAGCGACGAGGCTTTGGTCCAGGCAGCTCTTGACAGTGTGCTTCACGCGAGTCTGCAGAAGGAAGATGAATCGTGGTTGTCGAAGCAGATGCCTAATGGATTTGGACCTGTCTTTTCGATTATTACGAAGACGGAAGATTACGCTCGCAAACTCCCTAGTAAGCTTGCTTTCTTCCAACATGCTACTAGCCTAGGAGGAGTTGAAACGCTTATTGAATGGCGGACTATGTCGGATACAACAGTCGATCGCCGGCTGCTGCGGATTAGTGTTGGTTTGGAGAATTGGGAGGATCTTCGCCAGGATTTGGTGACTGCATTCAAAGCTCTAACTGAGAGCAACTAGATTATGCGATAGGAATAGACAATAATCATTACGATCCGTATTTGTTTGTGTAAGAATACGAGGGTGCGCAGTGCGCACTGTGTAGTGAGCGTAGAGCGGGGCTGCTTATCGCCGCCTCCTTCTGCCGCGGTTCTTCTCTTATCTCTCTCTCTTTCTACAATCAACTCGCACATTGATCTGACAACATCACCTCTGGCCCGTGCAAACGATACTCAACCCTAGCAGCTCCTCACTCGAGCCTAGTCAGCCACCTCCTCCTTCTCTCAAGCTAGAAAACTATCCCTCTTCCTTTCTCAAAACCAACCTCAACCTCACACCTGCCCATCCACCATACACATTGAGATAAAAGAAACCGACCACTAGCAGCAATGTCAACCTTCCAGATCCACTACTTCGCCTCGGCCACCAGCTACACCGGCAAGCAGACAGAGCGTCTGCCCGCCCCCTTACCCCTCGACCAATTATTCCCACTTCTGGAGGCGCGGTACCCCGGCATCACGGCGGCGGTCCTCCGCAGCTGCGGTGTCAGCGTGCGCGAGGAGTACGTCGACGTTGATGGCGAGGATGCCCGGACGGTGGTCATTGGGACTGGTGATGAGGTCGCGGTCATTCCGCCGGTTAGTTCGGGGTGAACCTTCGGGTAAGTCTGAGGATTGTTGGATTCGGGATTGTTACCTTATGGCTGATTTAGATTGTTTTTACGTTTGATTGCACTAGATTATCTTGGTGGCAGTATATATGATGCGGGGGGTGGGGAGTAGTAGCAGGAGTATTAAGGATGAAAAGAAAGAAAGAATTTGACAAGCAGAATCCAAAGTACATGACTGGAAGGACCACTGGACAAAAGAAAGACAAAAGGGAAGGGCAGGAGGGACATCCAAACGAGAAACCTGAGAACACAAATGAGAACATAGGGAGAGAGAGGTCCACGGTTGCGGTACAATACAAACGAACAAGCGTTTCTTCTCATCAGCATATCACCATTACCACCAGCAGCAAGTCAGCATTACTCATCCTTTCATTATGCCATCAACATATTCCGGCAGCATCAGCTCCTCTGACCTTCACCTTCGTTCTCCTCACCCCTCCAACTTCTCCACCCCAGCCGTCTTCTTCTGTCGCCAGAGGACGATCCCGCAGATCGCGGAGAAGAAGAACATGATACTATCCATATCCACCATCACGAACGTTAGCCCACACCCATCCTTATCCAAACGAAACGAAGCAGAAGGAAAGGAAGCAAAAACGCACCATAACGCAATACTCAGCCCCCAAATCGACTTGGCCTCCAAGCACACGGCCTTCGTCGCCCCGATCCAATTGGTGTAGTTGACTTTACCGTCCAGATGGTCGAGGTAACTGCTCAGATGCGTGGCGAAAGTGTAGGCCGATGAGTCGTCGCTGCTACTGCTGCTGTTGCTCCCGATCTTGGTGCATTGCAGGTACGATAGCGGTTTGCCCAGGATGACGGCCACCACGATCACGGCGATGAGGATCAGCGTGTCCAGCACGGCGGCGGCCATGAAGGGAAGGATGTTGTCGTAGTAGAGGATTGTGGTGATCAGGGCGTAGATTACGGCGATGCTTGTCTTTTATTTTTGTGGTCATTAGTTTTGGGGGCTTGAGGAGCAAGGTGGAAAGCGGGGGGCCAAGGGAAAGCAAACTGACTATTGTGATGGTGCCGATGAAGATGGCCGGGGGTGTGGCGTTGTTGGACACGATCTCCGAGATGAAGTTGGCTGTGAGGCCGATGATGGTGATCAGGCTGCACATTTGGATCAGGCGCGCGATGAGGAAGGTTGCGCCTAGGAGACCGTAGGGGGGCATTTTGGCTGGTGTTTGTTGTTGCTGTATGAATGTGGGTGTGCTTGGGGTTTGTGTGTGTGCTCGAGGTTGCGAGGATAGGGTCGGTTTGGTTCGGGGGTTTGATTTTGACTGTGCTTATAAGATGATTGAAAGCTTGAAGCGAAGGAGTGTAGATGTTATATACATGCAATCCAGACAAAGGAGAAAAGGTATAATAACTAAGGAGAAGAAAAGTAAATGGCAAGGAGGGTGTGAGATACTCTGACTAGACTTGTTGACCCAACTTGAGAAGTATCCAGTTGAGACAATGAGACCTTAAATACATCTCCCCATCTTGTCGCATCCTGATCCCATTCTTACACAAGTTGAAGCTTGAGGTCTAGACCAACATGGCACAAGGAGCCTCTCATTACCTCTGCGCAGCGCCAATGGTCGACTTGCATGGGTCCAGTCTAATGCTCAGCCGGGAAGCGAGCGCTTACAGTCTCGATTGGCATCCACCCTGGCGCGTAGCGATCTCTGTTCCCCGGGACAGCCGGCCACTCCTAGCCAACAGCCACCAGAGCTTATTTCGACCTGAGACAACCGTCTGTCATGGACTGGCGCTCGGGAAGGTAGCTTTGTTATGGCAGCTTTGCCCTGGTGAAGCGGTCCCTGGTCGATTTGCACGCATGGGCCTTAGCCCTTGGCTTGGAATCAGCTACACTGGATCAGAACTGTCTGTCAGATCTTATTATAGATGCAGGCACACGGAAACGTCTGCATGCATGCAGATCTGCGTCTCCTGATCCCTGGATATCGAGCCGCTGTCCCGCGCTCTCTATACTGAGCATAGGGATCAGACCCTGGCCTGCGTAGATGAGGCGATCCGGGGACTGGTCGTTGTTAGTGGTAGCTTAATTTAATTGACGCTAGACATGTACTTTGTTCCCGATTTTGCACGAGCCTTTTCCTCACGATGAGAGGGTCACCTCGCTATACTTGCACCGTGTGCACGCGCTGGGGTTGTCGGTGGGTGTTGGCCCGTCCGTATAGCAAGTCTTCTGAAACCGCAGTGGCTATCTCAATGCAGTTAATGCGGTGGATGCTGAGGTCCTGCTCTAGGCACTGGTCCATGCTGTTTTCAGCCACCATTCTGGTGGTTCGTTGATACGTGTCTGGTGCAGGTAGAACGAGCTACCAGCCATCGGTGGCGGTTGGGCCACTCGATCGCCCGCAATTACCCTCATCGGAGGCTGTTCGAGGTGATGCTGCATGCGGTTTGATTGATATGTCCTCAAGCACAAGCCCGGTGTCTTCTGGTGGTAGCGCGCAGGTTATGTGCTCGTTGGATACTTTGTGTCGAGACCCTTTGGAATGTCAATCTATGGCATTGGTCTATGTTAGTCTACTCATGTTTCGCAAATAGTGAGGCAGGCAAGACGAAAAGGTATTCAGTGACTGAGAATGTTGTATGGTCTTCGTATCCAATAGTCAACCCTTTGAGCAATGTATTCCCCTTCACTTCATTCATGCAATTGACTTCGACTGACGTTCAAATCAAGCTGTAGAATATTTAGCACTGATATTGAGAATGTAGTAAGCATACAGAAGCAATACAAAGAGAGAGCTCGTTCTTGAAAGAAGATTATCAAAGAATAGATCCCACTCGACTTCCTCTGCCCTTTGACAGATAACTGCATACTCACATGTGTACCTTAGAAACAACTATAAACTGACTAATCATTGATGGCAGACTGTTTGACCGCCCAAGCGGTGAGTGGCAAATGCCGGCACTATCAGTGGGATTTTTGGCGTCGGGGATTTGCCGCCGTGCGCTCTTTCCCTCATCCTGCCTCTCAGACATACACCTGCTCTGCAATTGTTGGGCATGTATGATGGGTGCTCCAGAATGTCCTTGCTACTCTCCAAGGCGAGAGTCTCGCACAGAGTGGCTGGTGTGAACCGCTATGCCTCCAACCTGAAGCTTGTCCGGACCTGCGGGATCGCAGCAATCCGTGTCTCCCCGAGATCAAGTCTCAGCAATGCCACTACAGACTTTCTTTTCACCCAAAGGCGACAGTTCAGTATTGGATCTAAGGTAAATATTCCTTTGAATGCCTTGTATTCTCCGGTGGCTAATAATTGCTTGTATAGTGTCTCTCCGCTCAAGACAATGAACCGTCCAAACCGACGACTTCAACCCAAGACGACGACCTGCTGCAATCGGCTACCTCACTCGAGAATCTTCGGCTGCGACTCGAATTTGAGAAGTACGGAAATGTCCGAGACTATCTGCAGAAATGGCAAGATAGCCAGGATAATTGGGCGGACCCTGTCCGAGGGCCTGGAACCGCGAACAAGATGCTCGCTACCGATGCCTGGAGAGGCAACATGCTGAACGACAACCGTGAAGCTATGGATGCAGGATTCGATGTCATGCGAGCGTCAGATGATGACGCGGAGCTGATTAACAGAGATGATGAAGGCGCGGGCCTGAATCACTACCTGGAGCCAGGTGACCTTGTGGCCATGTCAGCGTAAGTGAGCTTCGAAGACTCTTGATTTCTGCAATAACCTCGCTGACGTCTCCCCTCCCACCGCACAGGTCCGATGGGATTCTTTCTTACGCAATCTACGTTCGCTCTATTGCCAAACAGCAGCAATTTTACACGGATAAAGGTAAATGGCGCATCGCTTTCAAGAGGGACATTGAATACGTTGTGAAGGGATTCGTACCGGGGGAAACGACGGCGCCCCTGCTGCCTCACTTCCCTGCAGAGCTTGCAGAGATGAGTAGTGAATTCCAGTCCGCCATCGAGGGCGGAGTTCCTAGGCATGCAGGAGCTCATCTCATCGAGAAGATCCAAGAGTTCGACTTGGGCGTGCGGGAAATCTACCGCAACAACGCGCTACGGTTGGACAACCTCCACGCTCTGGTGGCGGACGAAGAATCGAATCTGGTATATACCCTAGAGGAACTGGCCTGCAAGGCTCTGGAAATCGAAGAGGACCAGTTGGATGCAACGTTACTTTTCCTCATTCATCGGTGCGTCCACGAGAATTCGTTCCTGATCGACCATGACAGGTGCTCTCTATTCGCCAACCATTACCTAGTCAGACCTCTACGTGTTGCCAAGGTGATCGATACCGTCTGCACCTGGGTGCATGAGCACCAAGATTATATTGTCAACTCAGCCCGTGGCAAGGACACCCCCTATATCCGCAACCATCCTCTGCAGCAATTTCTCTTAAAGGCCCAGCGTCTCATTCGGCAGAGTCGGACTGTGCGATCCCCAACCATCGTGGCATGCGTGGGCCCAAGCGCTGTACGAGTCGAGCCCAAAGAGAACGCTAGCCCTGCGATATACCGTGAGGTTCTCACCGAGCAGTTTAACGACGATGATCGTACCATCATAGAATACTTGCAGCATTGGTGCCTGCCTCCTCGGCGAATGCTGAGAGGTCATATGCGGTCCGCGGGGTCGCATATCATGCGCAGCACCGGCATGTACAGCGTGGTGGAATTGGGCCCCGAGACAGCCACGCTCTTCTTGCAGGAGCTGGGTGTATTCCACCCATGGGAGAACACACGTCTTCTCGATCATCAGCTTGCGCTTCCCGGGCACGGGATCTCTCTCGAACATGATAAGCTATGGGCTAAAGTAGCCGAAGAAGCCCAATTGCTCGCGGACAAGAGTCAACTCGAAGATTCCATGAAGGATTTGCGGGTTGATTGGGGTGACTTGAAAGTTTACTGTGTAGACGACGCTAAGGCAAAGGAGATTGATGACGGTGTCTCGCTCGAGCGCATCCCAGGATCAGACGACAATTTCTGGATTCATATCCATGTTGCAAACCCCACGGCATTCATGGATCACGAATCGAGCATCATGAAGTGGGCCGCCTCTCAAGCCGAGAGTCTCTACGTCCCTGAGCGTACTTATCCCATGATTCCTGAGTCCGTGACGCAAAAGCACTTCAGTTTGGGCCCGGGCCGTCCCACGCTCACATTCAGCGCCAAGATGAATCTCCAGGGCGATGTTCTGGACACTAAGGTTGCAAATGGTACGGTTCGGAATGTGACATACATAACCCATGACCGACTACGCCGCGTCTTCAAGCCAGACACCGGAGCCA